AGACAACCTACTTTAACAGTTTTTTTTATGAAATATTGTGATTAATTTCCATTGTTTACATGATCTACACAATCTAAATAATAATTTATCAAGTCCAGAAATTTAACTTACAATGTTTTTTCCGTATAGTTTGTTATTCGAAGCGCTTCGGTCCCAGAGGTATAGGTCACAGAGGTGCTGGTAGTCAGTCAATTGGTTTAACATGTGACTTAAACGACGAAACCGAAAGGTATTTAATGATACCTAAAGGTCTACCAACCATTTCTTTTTCATAGCATGCAATTATTTGTTTCAACTATCATAAATTATACATATTTTCCAATATTTGAACTAAATATCGAATATAATTCAATTTCCAATATTTCCATAATATATACCATTACATTTTTTTCTAACTATTTTATATTATGTGTATGTTATAAATAAAAAATATTCGTGTTTATATTCAGGGATGTTAGTACATCTCGAGCTCCTGTTATTGACACGAGTACAACTTCTATTAAGGCAAAGGCAGGAGAAGGGTGTCCACGTTGTGGAGGTGTGGTATTTGCTGCTGAACAAGTGCTTGCTAAAGGAAGTGTAAGTAACATTTTTCGACTTTATGATTGTGCACTCTATAGCTGTGTCAATATATTAAGTTTAGTTTTAGGTATCTAGTTAAAATTACAAATTAATACATTATTATAACAAATTGAATGGTGAATAAATAATGAGTAAATTGTATTTATAATAATAAACGTTGTTATATTTCTAAAGGAATGGCATAGGAAATGTTTCAAATGCAAGGATTGTAATAAAACGTTGGATTCTATCATTGCCTGTGATGGACCTGATCGCGATGTGTATTGTAAAACTTGTTACGGTAAAAAATGGGGTCCGCATGGATATGGATTTGCTTGCGGGTCAGGATTTCTTCAGACAGATGGCTTGACGTTAGTATAAATTATTACAATAGTTTTGGGTTCACTTTATAGTATTTATGTAATTTAAACATATAATTATATATTTTGATTGGTGAAAAATTTTTGGAATGGAATAGCCATCGTTTGCCCATAACATTTATTCACCACCTCACCGATGAGTTATATATAATTGTTGGACTGCAAATTATATAATATTATATTTATATACTTTTTTTAAACAGAGATGAACAAATTGCGGGAACGAGGCCGTTTTATAATCCAGACACTACATCTATCAAAGCGGAAAAAGGAGAGGGCTGCCCCAGATGTGGTGGAAAAGTATTTGCTGCTGAACAACAATTGGCTAAAGGAGCAGTAAGTTTTTAAAAATAGCTAAATACCAAGTTTATCAATCGTTAGTATGCACTTGGAAAATTAATTACTTAAGTAAATTGTTACTCTGCAGCTTGGTACGAGCATTTGCGTTTTTTCACAATTATTTTACTGGAAATTATTATTTCGTGACAATATGATATTGTGGATTAAATTAAAAAAACACATTATGATTTTATAATAATTGTAATACACATCTGATTTTAAAATTCACAAAATTATTAACAGATGTGGCACAAGATTTGCTTTAACTGTGCTACTTGCCACCGGCCATTAGATTCTACATTAGCTTGTGATGGACCGGATAAAGAAGTTTATTGCCGATCTTGCTATGGTAAATATTTTGGACCCAAAGGATTTGGATATGGACATTCGCCAACTTTGATCTCCACCAAAGGAGAATCTACAATGTTATTGTGAGTGCATAATATTAAAAATAAGCACAACATTATATGAATAAACAGTTTCACAAGATACCTAAACATTCAATATTTAAAAAAATAAAAATTTCAATCTAATGAAAAATTTATTATTTTAAWTTTTTTTATCAAAGACTTATTTTACATATTTTATTTTTTTAGCTCGGAAGCACGACCAACATCTGGCATTAAGGGTAGAAATGGCAATGGGTGTTTGAGGTGTGGATATGAAGTTTATGCTGCTGAACAAATGATAAGTAAAAATAAGGTAAAGTCATTTTACAGTTTTATGACCTACATAATGGAAATATTTAACTACTTAGCTATACTATAGTGCTATACAAATAATCATATTTTCATAAAGATATATTTTAATTTTGCAATATATTGCAAGATGTTTTTGACTGAAACATCAATATAATGTGGTTTATTGGTACCTAACACATTTGTTTATTTCCAAAACATATACAATACAGTTTGGTCGCCTAGTTATAACTTTTCTATTAATATTATTGAAGATATATAACTTATATTCTCAATGTTTTTAAGTTTTAAATTAAATATGCCATGTATTACAAAAAACTCTTACAATATGCGAATCAGTGAATTAGGGCTTATCATGTGAATATGTGATATAAGCGTAAAGGTTGCTGATATAATGTTTATTTATGATTTGTTAATTAGTCATATTCACTCTCCAGRATTGCTTTTTACGATAGAATTTAATATAACAAGTCACTGTTTGAGAAAATGTAATACACAGTATAAATTAATAGGTATATACCTACCGTTATATAAATATAATCATGGCTCTGATAGTTTCTTTCCTAGATTATTAAATTTAGCAAATCAAATATGGATTATATTGACTTTTACTTTATGTTACATAGTTTCTATTTGTAACATATATTAAGTTATAAGTTCAGTTTCAAATTAATTTTTATATTTTAATTTTTAATTTTTTTTTTTATTAAGGAAAAAGCCTCGGTAACGTGACCATTGGTWTGTTTTTACATGACAATGATAATTTAAATTAAATTGTACAAATCAATATCTTTCAAAAATAAAATAATTTTTATTATTGTTGTTATTGCCTGTTAGTGTTATTAATTATTATTATTGTTTTATTAGTCTGAGATTACTCTAAATGTAATTTAATTCTATTCTATATTCATAATTTAATGATAATATGTTATTTACCGATATTTATTACTACATTTTATGTTATTCACACCATCTATATCTTTCAAAAGGGTTTATCGGGTTTATTATGTATAAATAAATAATATGATATATATAAATATATTACGTTAAAAAAATATATAATAATAATAATAAATTRTATGAATTTATTTTTAGATCTGGCACAAGAGATGCTTTACTTGCGCCGATTGCAGCAAATCACTAGATTCRACAAATTTGAATGATGGTCCTGATGGTGATATTCATTGCAGACCTTGTTATGCAAAATATTTTGGACCAAAAGGTTGCGGCTTCGGTATGGGTGCTGGTGTTCTGTCCATGGCATAAATGATTACCRTGAAATGAATGCAGATTAAAAGCTAAAAATTATAATTTTTAAACAAACTTGATCTTATCGTTTGTTTCATGCTTTTTCTTCTTGTAATATCACCCGAAATATACTAATTATTTTAATAAACCTTTAAAAAAATTATAATTAATATAATATTGTTTTCATTTCTCTTTTATATATACAATCGCAAACACCTGTGTACTTTTTACTTTTTAAGTTTTATCGACGTCATTTTCTATAATTGTACATCAAATTCGCAAATAATTAATACTGAACAATTGAAAAAAATAACATTGATGTTCATTATAATTTGTAATCTCTGTACGTATAAATTGTAACATAATTTWATAATTATGCCATCAACATCTTTGCACCATATTAGGTATTATGAATAATATTAAATTTTAGCAAGTTTATTATTGAAAATGAACAGCAAAAGTAAGATATTAAACTTTACCGGCACATTAAATTTATTTTCAATATATTATCAATGACTTGTAATATTGTAATACTACAGACAGCGGTGGATTTGCTAAACATTTTGGGCTGGGAAATTGTCGTGTGACAGGCCCACCCAATATACTACAATAAATAATAATAATTTAAAAAAAAAAATGTTTTAAAAAGTCGTTTTATTTATAACTTTATATATATTATACATTTAAAATTATTTCTGGTGTTCATAATTAAATTTAGTGA